GGGTCAGGGTACCTGGAGAGCACCTGAAATGGGGCACCCCCTCCACATGACGCTGACATGGCCTGAGTCCATTTGCCACCAGGTCAGGTCCAGAAGCCCCACAGGGGAGAAAGAAGGCACATCCCTCCCTTCTTCCATCCTCTGCCTCAGCCTAATGGGAGCTGTAGTCTGGCAATACTTTGGATCTGGAGATGAAATTTGACTGTGGCTTCCTTAAGGGCACCTTCGGCTTCCCTGGAAAGCAATGGGAGGATTTCAGTGGTTTAGCTCAGTAGTTTTTAACCTTTGTTACTCTGATGTTTTTGAACTGCAACTCCCAGAAACCCCAGCCAGCACAGTTGGTGGTGAAGGCTTCTCGGAGTTGCAGTCCAAAACTCCTGAGTAACCCAAGGTTAAGAACCAGTGGTTTAGCTGATTTGCTCTGGTGTCTGAAGGGTGAGTGTGTGTGTGTGTGGGGGGGAATGTATTTTAACATACTTTTTGAACCTTTCTATTCCCTTCTCTTTTTTCCAGGTCAAGCCATTCCTCAGCCTGCAGGTAATGTTTCTCTTTGCTTTTCCACATTAAAACCTTTCCTTCTGGATGCTAGGGGTACCCCCCCCACCGCAGTAGCCCCTGTCCATCCTTTCCAGCCTTTCTGAGTCAAAAATGGGGTGAGCAAAATTCCCCCAAGAAAGCTATCGGCCAGGGTCCCTCATTGGGATTTTTTTTGGGGGGGGGAGTCTGTGCAGCCCCTTAAACCAGGGTGTCAAAGTTCAGCCAATTAACAAGGTGCCCAGAGTTATGCCTGGTCACGAACCAATCACGCCACCAGGTCCATGACTGGCATCCTGTTCACAAGCTGCAATTCCCCACCATGGGATCCATGATCTCACGTGCCCCAGAGCAAAACCTTGACAGAATTGGGGCCAGTGCATTCTCCCCCCCCCCAAGTCTCTACACACTCACTCGGGTTTCATGCCACAATATAACCGTGGATGGGCAGCAGAATTTCCATTTTTCTCCCTTGTCTCCACGCTCAGTATTCAAGTGGGAACGATTTTTATTTGAGTTGATTCTTTCCCTTCCTCTTCCTGCAGGACTCATGAGTTAGACTTCATGGCTGTCTCTGGATCCCAAGCAGAGGAAAAGAAGCCTTTCTCTCTCTTTTCAGTCCCACCCACCCCCTCCTGCCTGCCACGGGGGACTCTCTTTCCTTACAGAGAAGACGCAGACTTTGAAAGAGGGCAGGAAAGGAATGGAAGAAGAGAAGCAGAGACATACTGACCCTTCCCCCTCCCACCCAACCTTTTCTTCCAAAGGATCACCTCTTGCCTGCGTGACTGAGGGCAGCTCTGTTTTACTGTACGGCAGCCTCAAGCATGAGTGACCTGGAAGATGGTTGATCAGCTGTTGGAAACTCAAGGTCATGGCTTCCTTGATGGAGTCTGTCTGTCTCACCTTCAGTCGTCCACTTCTCCTGCTACCTCCAACCTTTCCTACCAGGGATGCTTGCACTGAGAAAGCAAAATTGAAGGTCATACTTCATGGTATTTTATTTTATTTTATTTTTCTTCTGTCAGCATCTGTTTTGTGGATTACCATTCATCAGAGCCTGCACATTTCTAAAATCCCCTAGTATGTTTTGTACGGAGGGCTAACCCCTTTTCTGACTTTTCCTGATCTGCACTTTTAAAACAATAAATATGCTTGTTTGTAAAGTCACTCTGTTCCTCCTGAAGGTTCCTGGCTTTCCTGCAAAAGAATTATACAAACCCACAGACAAGTTTTGGGCTCCTGCTAACTCCTGCTGGACCCTCAATTCAGTGTAATTTGGTCCCTTGCTGTGCTAATTCTTCACCGATTCCTTGTCATAACTGGGTCGAAACGATTCCAAGCAGTAATTGAACCATAATCTGAAAAACAGCCAGGAGTCTTGAGGCATCTGAGAGGCTAACGAATTTGGCATCAGCCTCGAGAGAACATAACCCACTTCTTCAGAACCATGCATAATCCGTAAAAGACCCAACAGAGGATAAATTCATCATCATCACCATCCCGAGTACATATTGCTGACTTTCCCAGAAAATACTGGGTGAAGCCATGTGTTGTGTCAACAACAGGTGTGTGTGTGTGTGTGTGTCTTGAATCCACCCCAGGTTAGGGGTCTCGGAAGAGAGGGAGGGAGAGGTGGCCGGTGGCTGAGCCCCTCCTCAAATCATCGGGCAAAAGTGATCCAAGATTCCTGCATAGCTCCTGCAGTCGATCCTTCCCAGGAAGACCCTGAGCCCCGCAGTCCATCCTGTGGCACATTTACTTGGGAGTAAAGGGACCCTGGGTAGGAAAGCATCGCAGCAAGCAGGGAACTCCTAGGCGAAGGAACGCTGCCCATTCAGCGCCATCCGGGCTGAGAAGGGAGGAGAAGGACCAGCCCTTGGCTCTTCTCAACTCGTTGCTTCTTTGAAAGGATCTTTTTTTAAAAAATGCAAAGAAACCCTGTGGCCAAAAGCTCAATACAAAGGA